GGAGGGGCGGGGCCATCAGGGCGGTCTCCGCAGTCGCCGCGGGAGGTGTCAGCGTAAGTGGGGAGTGGGACTGGCGGAGACCCTCTTTGCGGGCGGGGTCGGGGCGCCTCCTCGGCCTCCCGCACCGCGTGACCGGAATCTTAGCAAACCGCTTGGATCCCCCAGGCGGGGCCGAGGGGCCACGGGGTCGCCATTCAGGTGGTAGACGCACGCCTGTGTACCCCACGGACGGTCGAACCAGCCACTTTCGCCTCGGGCCTTCCCACTCTAATCTTGGTGCTGGAGGAGCAAATGCCCTCCTTCCGGATTACCTTTATTCCGTGTATTTTGTGGGAAAACTGAGGCGGCACAAAGCAAGGCCAGCCGGTGGGAGCGCCCCACTCCAGTGCAGAGAGAAAGCAACTTTCCAGGCAAAGCCTCTGGCCTCCCCGCGCTTTTGACTCAGGAAGTGCCCATGGGCCCTGTATTTACTGAGGGAGTCAGTGGGTCGAGATTTTCGAGCCGAGTAGTGGGGAGGTGGGTAGGGAAGATGGAAGGTGAGCTGGGTTGGGCTACAAGACTGAGTATTTTGTAATTTACATGTATTCTTTAATACTAACCGTTGTAGAAAGTTTCAGGTTGGTAGTACTTTCCCTCCTTTCACGTGAGAGGAGCCGGCCTCAGAAAACTTAACTTGGGTTCTTTGAACGAGGTCCTGCCTTTGGTTAAAAGGAGGAATGGAGATTAGAACACAGGTCTGTCTCACAGCAGCGCCTCCTGGTGGGCGGAGAAGGCATTTGCCCAATCTATTAATTATGAACTGAAACTTAAACCCTTCCTCTTCCTGGCTCAGACTGACTGGGGAATAGGTATTGTCGGGTGAGAGGGGCTTCTCTCCTCCACCTCAGTCAACTCCACTCTTAACCTCCCTGCCTCTTACCATCGATTCTTTTTGTTCCCTGTTCCCCTTCCCCATTTGCAGGACAAGATGAAGCTCATCATCCTGGACCACTATTCTCAGGCCAGCGAGTGGGCGGCCAAATACATCAGAAACCGCATCATCCAGTTTAACCCAGGACCAGACAAGTACTTCACTTTGGGGCTCCCCACTGGTGCGTTCTGGGATGGGGGGGTGGAGAAAACAGGTATTAAAAGTTTTTAAAGGTCCCTCAACCGAGAGACTTCAAGGAAGGTCTGAGGTACTGGTGCTACGAGTGAACAACTCCCCTACCGCAGGTCATACAAGACAGAGGATCCAGCTTACTTTATGGGCTGACTAGTTGCTGCCTGCTCATGTATGAAAAGAGTCCTGGAGCAAAAGGGTCTTGGCTAGCTAAGAAGAACTTGATTTTTCGGCTCCTAAATTAGCTGGTTAGTCTAATGCCTTAAAGTATAAATTTTACATAATGAAAATCAGAACCTACTAGCTGGTTGCCATCTTTGGGAGAATTGAGAAGATAAGACTTTAAGACTTAAACACAGGACCTAATTGAAAAATAGCCTGTTTCTTTGTAAGCAAATAAGAATGTTGTCTTTACAAGAAGACCATTTGAATACAGCAAATATCCTACTTACTTCTTTAAAAAGTAGGGTAGAGTTCACAAGACACAAAAACGATTCAAAAACATACCTGCACCCCCATGTTTATTTACAATTGGAAATACCTGAAAACAACCCAAATGCCCAAAAGTGGATGGCTAGATTAAAAAGATGTGGTACATATACATTAATGAAATATTACTCAGCAACCAAAAAAAAAAAAAAACACACATGCCTTTTGCAGCAACATGGATGGAGCTGGAAAAGATCATGCTTAGTGAAATAAGACAGAAAGAAAAGGAAAAATACTGGATGGTTTCACTCATAGCAGGAATATAATGGACCAGGCGAGAAAATAATAGTAAAAATGAACAGCTATATACCAGAGACATTTTATGGGGTTGAGTGGGGAATGGGATCAAAACAGTGGGGGTAGGGAAATGCACTGGACTATGGTGATGACACATGGGTGATTTGGTGATGGGAAGCCCACGGGGATTACAACTGAGATGGAAAAATGCACAAAAGGATGTAAAAATAAACTATCATTTACAAAAAAAAGTAGGATAGAGTTGCCCCCAAAGACCCATCCATTAGAGCAGAGGTCTTAAAACTTTTGTAAATGGGCAAATAGTAAATACTTTATACTTTGTTGTCCAACAGCCTCTGTTGCAACTACATCGACCTTGTAGCTTGAAAGCAGCCACACAATACATAAAGTGGCCATATACCAATAAAATTTTATTTAGGGGCAGTGAAGTTTGAATTTATGATTCTCATATGCCACAAAATATTCTTTTATTTTAAAAATCTTTTAAAGTATAGGGCTCTCCCTGATGGCACAATGAGTTAAAGCACTGCACTATGAAGCTCTCGGAAACCACTGCAGCATGAGTTCAATCCCTGGTCAGGAAGCTGACCCATATGGCCTGGTAGACCTCTCCTGACCTGCCCGCTGCTCCCCTCAGCAGTGTAGTTTGTCAGTCTGCCTGTGCTGCTCCCCACTGTGTCTCTGGTGAATCCTCTCACCCACCACACCTCTGACCTATACCCCTATATTTGTTGATTTATGTATGCATAAATCAACAAATCTTTAAAAAAAAAACTTGCAGAATATAAAAACTATTCTTTATTATTATTTTTTAAGATTTATTGATTTATGCATACAGAACTAGGGTGCAGGCCAGAGGTGCAGGCAGGGGCAGGTAAAGGGTTCACCAGAGACAGATCTGGGAGCCTAACAGGCAGACTGACAAGTAAACTGCTGAGAGGAGCAGTGGGTGGGTCAAGAGGTCTGCCCAGCACCTCCAGGGCTGGGGATTGAACTCACGGAAGGGGCAGCAGCTCGCTTATGGTGCTGCACTTTAACCCGTTGCACCACCAGGGAGAGCCTTAAAAACTGTTCTTAGTTCATGAACTGTACAAAAGCAGACAACAAACAAAATTTGGTACAGGCTAAAGATCACTGCCCTAGAGGTTTACGGGAACAGTTTCTGCATGTATCTGTGGCACCTGCCTATGTCTGTAACATCCTGTTTTCTAACTGTGGAATGACCCCAGCTTTCACCTGGGGCAGAGTCTGTGAGCTAGGTCCTCCCTAGTTTCTGTCACCTGCATAATCAGATCCAAACTCCAGAGAGTAGCATAAAGAGCCCAGTGAAGCCTAGTACCTTCCTGACTGTCACATGAACTAGCACAGCATTTCCATATGGGTCCTATGGAATATTCCTTCTGTTAGATGAAGAACAGGGTTCTGGGTGGAAGCCATAAAAACCAACTGCAGCTAACTTAAACAGCAGTTTGTAAGCTAGATATAAGGGAGCTTACAGAATTGGGAAACCTAGAAGTTTTGAAAATGGATATGTAGCACTATCAAGGGAAGGACAGTGGCAATGTGTATCTTACAGGGACCGGCTAGTTATTTTGGGTGAGGCAGGGCGCTGCCACTCATTTATTTAGCATTTATTTATTAAATGCCTGCAATATGCCAAGCTGTTCTGGGAGCAGGAGATATATCAATGAATAATGAACATAAATTCCTATTTCCCTGAAGCTTAAATCGCAGTGAGACAGATAATAAATTAGCAAAATAAAGACTAGGTTAGTTGGTGATGAGAGGAGGAGAAAAATGAGAAGGGAAATAGGGAGTATCTGTCTAGGCTGGGGTCTCCAGTGTGGATCAGGTGACAAGGAAATTCTCTGAAAAAGTTTGAGTAAAGCCCTAAAGAGATAAAAGAGTTATCCATGCAGATAACTAAAGGAAGAACATGGCTGGCAAAGGACATAGCATGCACAAAGGCCCTGAGGTGGAATTGCCTGGAGTAGAATAAAAGATGTGGTCAACTTAACTAGAAGCTTAAGCTGGTTATTACTCAGACTGAAATGAGAAACATCAGTGGGTTGTAGAAAGAGTGATTTGGGTGGGACTTCTGTACATCTTTTTATTTTGAAAAGTTTAAAATATTCAGAAAAGCCAAAAAAAAAAAAAAACAGTACCATTTACTTAGATTCACTGTTAACATTTTGCCACATTTGCCTCCATTGCTTCTGGCCTATGTTCTCACACAGATACACTTATATATGAGCCACTTGCAAAACAAATTCCAGACATCCTGCCATTTTAACCTATAAATTCTACAGCATACACATTCTCAGAATGACATTCTCTTGCATAACCAGAGTACCATTATCATACCTAAGAAAATTAAGAATCATTCCACAATATTATCTAATATACAGACTAAAATTTTCCCTTGTCAGCACTCACCTTTTATAGCTTTCAAACAATTCAGTGTCCAGACTTCATACATATTTAGTGTTTTAATCTATAGCAATACTAGCTTTTAAATTTTTTTTTATAAAAAGATTTCATGTATTTATATATACAAGAAATGGGGTGTAGGCCAGAGGTGCAGGGGGTGAGGGGTGGGTTGAGAGGGCTCACACAGAGGGTAAAACAGATGGATCTACTGAAATACACTGCTAAGGGGAGCAGTGGGTGACATAGGAGGTCTGCTGTGCCATATGGGTCAGCTCCCTGGACAGGGATCGAACTGGTGCTGGAGTGGCTGCCAACAACTTCATAGTGCTAAGATTTAACCCCTTGGCGCCACCAGGGTGGCCCCAACCTTTTACATTTTAAATGACTTTTATGATGGTGAGTCTCCTGTGAAATCTGCATGCACGCACTCTTGTGTAATTTCACCTACAATAAAGCTTCATTTTTAACTTACCTGTACTGACTCCCACATGAAATAGTTCTATGACATTGACTTTTAATGAAGCTCAACTCGGGAGTCTGCTGCTCCTCTAGTGAGTTTTCCCTGAGCCTTCAGGCATCTGACATGACTGTTCCTTATCCCCACACCTAGCCAGTGAGCTCTTTGACGGTCACTGCCAGGCCTCTCCTCTGCATCCAATTATAGGGATGCATGATAGTTGCTCAGGGGATGTAATATCAACAATTCACTCTGCTGTTTACTCAGGTAGTAATCAGTCATATCAATCTTCAGTATACCAGGCAGAGGGGGCTCAGCAGGATCAAGACAAACATAGCTCTGTCTGGGGAAAATGGCAACAGATGAACAACACATGAGTGGCTGTTAGAACTGGAGCAATGTGTACACTTCAGATCTGACAGGTTCTACTTGTAGATCAGCTTTGACTCATTCCTGGGTGCCTTCTGGGCTTCCAGGAACTGAGGACTGAAAGGTGTTCATGGCTGTCTTGTCTTCATGGTCTCTTGTAGGGAGTACCCCACTGGGCTGCTACAAGAAGTTGATTGAATACTATAAGAATGGAGACCTGTCCTTCAAATATGTGAAGACCTTCAACATGGATGAATATGTGGGTGAGTCTTTCAAGAGCCTTACCTGATTTCAGTGGCGTCCTCACAGACAGGGCCCTGGAGAAGAATGGGGGCATTCAGGGAGTCAATGCTTAATTAGTGGTGGTTACCTTCCAGGCCTCGGTTACTCAGCTGTAAAATGGGGCTAATAAAACTGACCTCAGAAGTTGAAAGCATTAAATAACAAATATGGATGTCTCTAGTAGAGCTCTAATAAATACTGTGGTATCTCTTTCACCTCTGCCTATTCCCCAACCCTGTGTTGTCTCTTTCTGGAACAAGTGATTGCACTGGGGTGTGGTTGGGGTGTTTACCTCTCAATGTCTGTGTCTGAACCGTGTCTCCAGTGTACCTTCCTCCTCCAGCTGCCCTTCCTGCCAGGTACACCAGGAGAGGAGCCGAGACTAGTGTCCTTCCCACTGCTGAAAAGCTATGCCTTGGCCTTCTGTCACCTTCCCAACCCCTCTGTCATTTGGTAATGACTTTTATATTCAGCATCTTCTTTTCTTATTAATTATGGTAAAATACACATAAGATTTACATTAACCATTTTTTAAAACATCTAAGTTCAGTAATGCTAAGCATATTCCCACTGTTGTACAACCCTCAGAACTCCTTTCCTCTTACAAAACTGAAACTCTAAGCCAGCTCCCCATTCCCTAGTCTTCCACCCCTGTCAACAACCATCTTACTTTTTCTATAAATTTAATTACTCTAGATACCTCAGACACATGGTACCATACAAAACTGTCTTTATGTGACTGGCTGTGTCACTAACAATGTCCTTGAGGTTCATCCATGTGGTAGCATGTCAGAAATTCCTTTTTATGTGGACTTTAAACATTCTTAATGTTTAACATTAAATATTCACTTTAAACATTCTTCCTAACTGAAAATGATCCTTTTGGGGAAGCCCAGAGAAAACTATCTCCAATCACCTGGTGTTCTAAGTTGGGGTTCAAGCTGAAGGAGATATAACTCGGGTGAACGGTGTGGTGGGAGGCATGGGTTGAAGGGTGTGTTTATTTCCTTTCCAAGATGGGTCTAGTCCCACCCCAATGTGGTGAAGCCATCTCAGATGCCCAAGATTACCTTTTTCTAGCCTTCAGTCATTCCAGAATGAGGGCCTCGGCCCTGTGTGTGTGTCGCTACTCCAGCACAGCCATGATTACAGATAGTAATGGGTAGACAGTGATGGACAAAAACTTAGCTGGGGTCAGGGGTCTGGTGCTGAAAGCTCCCTGATGACACTCCTGAGTTTTCTGTAGCTTCAGGGTCTAGAAGCGGGGCCCTAGTATGCTCCTTGAGAGGAGGGGCTCTGGCTCAGACTGGGCATGACTGACCTTGGCCATGTTCCCACAGGCCTTCCTCGAGACCACCCAGAGAGCTACCACTCCTTCATGTGGAACAATTTCTTCAAGCACATTGATATCCACCCAGAAAATACCCACATTCTGGATGGAAATGCAACTGACCCGCAGGCTGAGTGTGATGCCTTTGAAGAGAAGATCAAGGCTGCGGGAGGGATTGAACTATTTGTTGGAGGTGAGGATTGAACTATTTGTTGGAGGTGAGCTGGACATTGCAGCAGGTGTGCAAGAAACTCAGGTTGGTTAGGTCACAAAGTGGCCTGTCCCCTAACAGCTTCCTCTCCTGTACTTAGGACCCTAGAGGTCCTTCACACTGAAATGATGGGAAAAGCAGAGCAGGAACCCTAGCTCTCTAGCCTGGTCTAATCAGTAACTGTAATTTCAGTACCTTCTTCCTACACTTCAATACTTTGTCTATTAATTGAGAGGTATGAATTTGAACTGTGAGATTCTGTTACCTAGTCTTGGCTTTTATAGAGCAATCATGGGCCTTAATCTACACACTTAAAATTATACTTGCATAGTTCTGGAAGATTCCATACTCAGCCCCTGCATCTGGTAAGACAGGCAGTTGAATCGTAGAGATGATTTTTGACTTGTCCTCCAAGGTCAGCTGGCCAGGAGCAGTAGAGAGAAGGTAGGGATGTAGGTGTCTCCAGCTTAGGTTTGTGCCGTGCCCTGGGCTGTCCTCTCATGTTTCCATCTGTTACTACCTCTGGAGTCACCCACAGATACAGAAGTTGGACTGCCCCTTTCAGTGTTCTAGATTTAAATCTTCTCTACTTCAAGGTGGGAAGTGCTTATGTTCTGAGATTTTATAGACTTGGCAGACCCTATTGCCCCGTGTTAGATTTTATTAGCCACAAATTTATGCCAGCAACTTTATGACTTTTGGCAAGAGAGAAAAGTTACACTTGAATGATCTAGGGAGGCAGAGGGTATTTGGAGTACTTACTTAGCTTTGAGGGTTTGTAGCAAGTCAGTAATATTTGTGTCACATAAAGTATACCTGCTTGGGGATGAATAAGAAAAGATGCATTTCCCAAGGACTTTCTCATACTCAAGGTGGGGGAAATAAGAGACTGTCCATTCTAGAAATCTTGCATCCCTGGGACTAACAGGGCTACACTGGCTCTCTCCTGGGCAGGTATCGGCCCTGATGGACATATTGCCTTCAATGAGCCTGGGTCCAGTCTGGTGTCTAGGACTCGTGTGAAGACATTGGCCATGGATACCATATTGGCCAATGCTAGATTCTTCGAAGGAGATCTTGCCAAGGTGCCCACCATGGCCCTGACAGTGGGTGTGGGCACTGTCATGGATGCAAGAGAGGTAAGGGTATATGGGATAGGTGGGCTTTCAGTGAGGAGTTGGGTTTGGGTGATTTGTTACTGATTTTAACTGTGTAGGTACCACCTAAATGCATCACTATTGAAAACAAAGACATTATAATGTACATACAACAAAGACTAAAATCCCTACTATCACTGTCCCTCTTTCCTCTTAGGAAGTATTTTTCCCAGTGTGAGGGTACACCTTACCTGCCAGAGGCTCTCTGGTCTCTGGTTATTTACATTTTTTTAAGCTTCTCAGACAGAAAGCTTTATTACAAATGTCAGAATATGAATTTATAACTGTGCAAGTACTGAGGACACTCTGGTTGCCTATTGTTGGTGAAGGACACTGTTCAAGGATTAATAAATGTGGAGAAGTGTCAGTGAAATCTAAGTCTTGAATTTTCCCCTAGAAAATTGGGCATCATTTGAAATCTTTGTAGTTCCAATTTTCTTTTGAGTTTTAGAAACATTTTTCTCTTCCTTTCTAGGGTATATTCAATTGGAAATAGCTATAGATACTTTAGTTTCACATTTCTTTGCCCGAGTGTATAAACAAAGTCTTGAATCAGTGAAAAAGGTTCCCTGTCTAAAATGAACTTTTGCGACATAAGTGATGACACTAAGATTTCTTTTGGATCGCCTTGATTCAGTACTGTGAAAGACCACAGTGCCATTTTTGGCTTTATAGTTTTGAAAAATACCAGGGTTTGAGGTGCCTCCCTGTCATATGAGGGTATTTTGATCTGGGATAGGACTTGGGCTAGAAAATCTGTAAATTCCCTTCTCTCCCCCCCCCCAACCCCACCCTAGCAAATTCTCTTTTCTAAAATGTGTTCTGGGGAATGAGTTCTGGGGTCCTAAACGAAGTGCATCTCTCTCTGCCCATTTTCTTGTCTTTTAACAAAACAGTAAATCCTTTCCCAAGTCCATGGTCCAAGTGAATTACAATAAAAGGAAATCTTTTGAGCTGAGTTCTTTACAAGTATCATTTCCCATACTTTGTTTTTGATATCTAAGCTATTGAAGGGAATCTATACGTTTATGTACTCAGAAAGCATTACCCCAAATCTGTTTAGTAGGTTTAATACTCTAGACTGAAAATGACCAAATTAAAAGCCAGCCGGAGTTCAACTTTAGGAGCCAAACAGGTAACTGTCACCACAGCTTTCAAGGCCCCCTTGTGGGTGGTACAGACTGACAGTCTACTTTTTCAGACTGTGATTGTGAAAATTGACTCAGCCAAGGATTCCCCTGAGGCCCAGTGTCAGACTGGTAGGATAAGGTGCAGCCTTTGTGTGGTAGTCTGTTCACCAGACACTTTCACAGTCATCATCAAAGATGCTGGCGTCGCATAATGGACCAGCATGGACTGTGGGTCACAAATGACCTGGGGCAAGCTACATAGCCTGTTCCTTTACACAGAACGTGGGGATAATGTTGCCTCCTTCCTCAGGTTATTTGTGATAAAGCACATGGAGTGAGGCACAGAAAATAACATGCTAATGACCGAAAATGTGGTAATAAAAATACAGTCCTTACAGCCATCGTGGGGTGACTAGAATTCAGGTCTCCGATTCTCAGTTCTGCAGCTCCTCATCAATCACTGGCTTGCTTTCTGATTCCCAGGTAATGATCCTCATCACAGGTGCTCACAAGGCATTTGCTCTGTACAAGGCCATTGAGGAGGGAGTGAACCACATGTGGACAGTGTCTGCCTTCCAGCAGCATCCCCGCACAGTGTTTGTGTGTGATGAGGATGCCACTCTGGAGCTGAAAGTGAAAACTGTCAAGTATTTCAAAGGTGAGGGAAGGTTGGGTCTGGAGTGGCCAAGTTTACGATGTGCTAGGAGTGAGGAGTGGTTCTAGTTTCCATGCTCTCGTCATTTTAATAGACACCTCTGATTTTTTAAAAAAATCATATCCTACTGTCTCAGAATACACAGTTACTGCTCTTCCATCCACGACTGCAAGAGTTCATTTCTGGGGAATCTCTTTGTTCTGAGGAGGAAGAAAATTAAAAGTTACAGCCCAAGGTCATCTCCTTGCAGTGATAATGACCTCAGACAGGATGATGGTGCTATCTTTCCAGATCTTACAAGAGCCTTTTCCCCTTAGGCAAGATACGAACTCTTGAGGACCTTTTCCCCCCTTTACTTAAAAAGGTATACACATTGCTTTAAAAACTTAGGTGAAAATCCTCATTTTCTGACAAATTATAAATTCTCTGCTAAAAACATTTTCTCACCCAACTTCCCTGGAGATTAAATTTACAAACAGCCCACACATTCTAGCATTCATGAGGAATAACAAATTATTTTCCACTTTTAGGGTGTTTCTCATTTGAGGGCCACAAAAAAAAAAATGATAGGGATCAACTCTAAGATAAAATTCATCCTAGAGAACTTGTTATTGTTGATGATTCATAGAATTGTGCTTTTATCTGCATTAACTATTTTGTTTTTAACCTTTTGTAGGTTTAATGCTTGTTCATAACAAGTTGGTGGACCCCTTGTACAGTATCAAAGAAAAAGAAACACAGAAAAGCCAGTCCTCTAAGAAACCATACAGTGATTAGCCTATGTTAATCCTAGTGTCAAGTACCTCACTGGGAGAGGCAGGTGTTTCTGGAATTTGTCTTTGGACAGAATTGTATTTCTTTAATCCAGTATGGTAACTCCAGATAAATGAGCCTTGTTATGGAGTTTAGCTATAGGGAGAATGACTTTAACTTACCCTTAATGAGAAAAAAAAAATCTCTGAAAAATATACTAATTTTGATGTCTGCCCCACACAGATTAGGGGTTTTTAGCTTTTGTGCTGCAACTGATACTGTTCATGTGTACAACACACTCCTGCCAGGAACCTCTATCATAACATGCACTGATTCTCAATTGGAAGCGAGTTAGGGGCTTGTTTGTATTGAACAGAATTCTTTTGGAGAACCTTGCGAACCCGACTCTCTGCCCTTACTTGAGAATTACTGGTCAAGATTAATGAGCAAATGCTCAACTGTCTACGATAAGGAAGCAGTCCCTCTGGCCAGTAATAAGTGCCATGGAAAGAAAACTCCATACTTTGTTTCCCGTTTTTTTTCTTTGCTGTGCTTGGTTGGCCTTGCCATGCACTTGGAGGACTTCTTGGGGGAGGATCTGGATAGGTGGAGCTAAACAGGCTTTTGCTGATGAACTCTGAGCATCAAGGGTCCCAGCCACATCAAACTCCCCTTCCCAGGGACCCTCCAGGACTGGGGAAAAGGCAGAAACCCTTTTCCCACCAGAGTCCAGTGTTTTATTCTGAGGTCTCACTGTGGCACCTCTTATGCACTCAGTAACAAGGAGGCCCATGGGGGCAACACACTTCCACAATTTCATAGTGTTCAGTCAAGGTGAGGAGCTGGTACAAACAGCTCATTCGTGAATTCCTTCACAATCTGATGACATTCTCCTGCTTCCCTACAAGTACAGTTCCAAGGCAGCTGACCCAATGCTCCTGCAGCTGCTTAACATCCTTGCTCTGCTTTGAATACCTGCCCTGTTACTCTCTGATTCACATGCGTCTGATGTTCCCAGAACATCAGGAAACAATCCTTTTGTATACACTCCTTGTTCAGAAGATGAATCGACTGCTCTGCCTTCCTGTTTTCTCATAAACCTTTGTGGAGAAGATGCTGCCTCCTCCGTTGTTGTGCCTGTTTGAAGCTGCTATTGCCTCTATTTCTGGGAAAGATCCTTCAGAGCCTAGCTCAGCCTCTTAAGTGCTGTGTGGTACCAGCATTTTGTCTTTAGCTTTTATATGTGATATGCTGTCATTTTGTTTTAAGCTAATGGATCAGTGGAACTGTTTACAATGTGATCTTTTCTATTAAATCCAGTTATTTTAAAATGTACCGTTTGTGCACTTCTATTCCCAAGGTCAGAAAATAGCCTGACTCGCTATCTTTACAAACTTTGGGAAAACCTGGTGAACAAAGCATCACATTCCTCACAACAGTTCTGCCGGAAATCATATTCATAGCAACCATCATCATTTCTTCAGTCACCAGGGGAGAAATAAAATATAAAAATGAAGCACCAGTATGTAAAGTGGTAGGGGGCCCTCCCTGGTGAAGCAATGGTAAAGCACAGTACTATGAAGCTATCACAGCCACTGCAGCACGTTTGATCCCCAGCCAGGAAGGTGACCCACATCGCGTGGCAGACCTCTCCTGACCCGTCCGCTGCTCCCCCCAGCAATGTATTTCAATACATCTGCCTGTTCTACTCCCCACTCTATCTCTGCACCTCTTACCAACCGTGCACCTCTGGCCTGTACCCGTTCTGTCGTGCATCTCTGGCCTGTACCCCAGTTCTGTATGTGTTAAGCAAGTCTTTAAAAAAAACAGATGGGAAACAAAGTTTCCTATTCTTGCTCTATCTGGCATCCACAAAAGGAGATGCCTATTAAGAAGAATGTAGTTTGTGAACAGGAGTATCAAAAGCATAAGGTTAGGGTTTTTTTTCTGGTCAAACATCAAAATATAAAAGGATACCATGGCTCAGTATAACCAACTGAGGTAGCTGACTATACCGGGGGGTAGTCCTTCCCTTGGAAACGGCATTGCTTTCTATGGTCCCAGCTCCTGGTGTTGCAAAATATGAGCCACAATAAGCAATTTTAAAAAAGACCAGATTTGCATATGTTATATTGTAATTGTTAGCTGTTGGTCTCTTATTGTGCCTAGTTTATAAATTATATAAATACAGGTGTATGTGTGTGTGTGTGT